GCTGGGAATTGAACCTGGGTCCTCTGCAAGAGCAGTCAGTACTCTTAACCGCTGAGCCATCTCTCCAGCCCCGAGAGTATATATTTTAACAGGGTTACTCCAGAGAGTGAGAATTTGCATTCCAGCCCCAGTGTATTTTCTGATTCCTAGAATGTCTCAGTAACAGTCCAGTGGGTATTCATGGGATGGGGCAGAGGCTCATGCATACAGGTTATTCTGATCTAGATTAATAACAATATGTGTAACCTTTCTATCAAGTTCAAGTGTACTAGGATTACAAGTACTGACTCTTGAGTGATATTTTATATTTAAGCTTAGAGTGAATGACAATTTTGTTCCAGATTTATAAGTGTTTTAAGTCCATAGAGGGTGACTGGGCCAGATTTTCTCCACATTCTCAAATCTGAGATTCTACCAAGACCAGGTAAGAGAGTAGGAATGATGCTCTGTAAATAGCAGGATTTCAGTACTCAAATTTTTTCAAAGCTTGCCTAGTGTAGGCCATGTACTTTCTCCTAATTTGAATATATGTGAAGATAGTAAAGGAAAACTTTTCCTACCATACCACAGGGATGTATTTCCATCACAAACAATGTCCCAGGCTTATAGGACTTCTTTATTCCCCCAAAGAATAGTAATACTAAAATAACTAACATTACACTTAAAATACTTGACATTAGAAAATTATTCTTCTCATTTATGTCTTCAGAGTCAAGCTGGAATCAATCTCAACAAACAGTGAAACTAAAACAAACTTTGTGGAAATAGCCAGAGATGAGTTCACCTTGCTCATTGCTGTATTCCTAAAAAGCACAACATCAAAAATTAAAGTGAACAAAGTAAGCACTACGTATTACAGGATAAATGTTGTTTTGCTGAGAACCTTTTATTTCCTAGGAAAAAGGTATCATCATCAGAGTTACAGAAAATTAGAGGAAGTGAGCAATGTTCTTCTTCCCCCTCCCTACCTATTCAGTCCTGACAGGTGATTTGTTTTACTAATGGATCATCAATCATGAATATCTAAGTAAAGAATATTATCTGTTCAAGATGTATCACATTTATTATCTTTAAATAGTTCTAGATACAATCTTTATATTGATAAATTCCATTTTTACAAAGATCAAATTGTAAAAACTCATTTCCTTCTAGAAGTAAAATAAATTAAAAGTCAAGTTTTTAAATCTAAGTTGCTTACCTTTTGTATAGTACAAAAAGTAAAATGTTAACAAATTATTTATATATACATATTGTTTATTATTTTTATTTTATATGTATGAGTGTATTGCCTGCATGTGTGTACGTGAACCCGTGTCATGCAATGCCCGTGGAGGTCAAAAGAAGGTATCGGATCCCCTGGAACTGGAGTTACAGACAGTTATTAGCTGCCACATGGGTGCTGGGAACCGAACCTGGGTCTTCTGCAAGAGCAGCAAGTGCTCTTAACCACTGAGCCACCTCTCCAGCCCCATTAACCAATTCTAAGCTATCAAATTACCTTTGAGTTTTTTGTTTACATGTACTTTGGTTTTCTTTTTAGAGTTACTTTTTAGGTTTCATTGTATTGTAATCTTTTATTTGTATTTTTTTTCCTAATAGGCTAATGTCATTGCTTGTAATAACAAAAGGCAGAAGTTTGGGAGCATACAAATATATACCTTAAGTTTCTCTCTCTCTCTCTCTCTCTCTCTCTCTCTCTCTCTCTCTCTCTTTATTTCATCTTAGCCATTCTGACTGAGACAAGACGAAATCCCAAAGTAGTTTTTATTTGAAGTTCCCCAATGGC